ATCCAAATCAAAGTTTTTGGTCTAATCTTACTTTGCCATCATGTTATCACTTCGATCAATGTCCAAAAATAAAACAATAAGGCTCCAAATACAATAATAAAAGGTCAAAAACAATCCCACTAGTCCCAAAAATTCAGACTCAACCAGGCAGACCGCTCAAGCGTCCAATCTTGCGCTCGAGCGAACAGACCAACAAAACCAACAGCTCAAGCGAACACTTCTGTGCTCGAGATGGAATTCATAACTCTTAAAATTTCGGACAGACTGCAGAAGTACTCGGAGCCTCACAAGGCCGCTCGAGCGTCAACTCTTACGCTCGAGCGGAGGGAAAAATTTTGGAGTGTTACATGATTCAAATATTTATTTTGTAAAAATAAATGAAATTGGTATTATAGATATGAAATTGGATGAATGTTGATGTAAATAGTGGAGTTGGATATACATTACCTCACACTTTTGAAATTTGAATAAATTATCTGTCTTGAGATTGAATATCTAGTTAGAAATATATATATTGGGCAATCGGTGGAGGATAGCTATGATTGTTGTAGAGATTACATGAGGATTAGGAGAATTAAAACTAATCTCTTATGGGTTGTCATTGAATATGACTATGTTTTAAATACATTGTATATGTATGATTGTTTGGGAGGAAAAATTGGATGTACTCCATTGTTTGGGAGGAAATAGGGGATGAACTCCATTGAAATTAAGTTGGCCTGTGTGTCCAGGGTGAAAGTCCCGAAACCGCGTGTACACATGGATGCTAATTCCCTCAGACGAAAATTCTGTAAAATGTCAAATTGAAGTGTTTGTGTGATAATTGTGTTAATTTGGGAACCACTGAGTTATAATCTCAGATGGGTTGCTTGAAAGATAATGAAATTGACTCATGAAGTGAGATAAAATGAATTAACTTGAATTGACGAAAAGGAAAAAGGATTAAGTTATGAATTTTGGTACTTTATGATGATATAGAATATAAATGTTTTATCACTGGCATTGTAGATACACATTGTACTTATATCTTTGTTAAGATCCATATAGTATGTTAGATTGTTCCTACTAGGCTGTGGCTCACCCTATTTGGGAAAAACTATTTTCAGATGTTGATGATATGCCTCCATCAATGCAATAGCTTGGAGGGGCCTTGGAGCAAAAGCTTCATTTTGTTGCATTCTCTTTTGTATAGCCAGGGCTTTATTTATATTGAGCTAGTCTTACTTTTATTGTAACCAAGCCATGACTTGGATAGATGTAAGCCTATAGGGCATTTACTAATGCTAAACTCTTGTGTACCATTAATTCTATGAAATGAAAGGACATTACACTTTGATTTATGCTGTAATTCATATATGTTATTGGTTCAATTTATGATTAATTTCGTGGTGTTACAAAAAATATATTTTTTTTTTTCTTGAAAAATAAAAATAAAAAAATATTTTGAAAAAAATATTTTTCAAAAATATAAAAAATAATTTTAAAGAACAAAATAAAAAAAATCATTTTTAAATTTTTTTTGTTTTGAAAATAGAATTTTGAATATAGTTTGACTGTGAGTTTTGAAAAAAAAATTGAAATTTTTTTTTATTGGAATCATAATTCCAAAATAAAACCAAACGCTACCAAGAATTGAAGTCTTAACCTCAAAGAGACCACAACGGTTTTGCTCATCTATATATTATATAAGGAAAATGGGGTTTTTAATCCACAAATTTAGTAGGAGCTCCAAATTTCCAATCTAAATTTCATAATTTTTTGATTTTTAAAAATCAAAAAAATCTTCTATTAGTTAGCTCTTATTCAAGCAAAAATAAATAAAAAAATAAAAATTAATATCCCTTGATTTACGACTTTCAAATGGAAAGTATGTCAAATTTTAAAAAAAAATAAAATAAAAAGTACACTAAGGGATTGTTTGGAGTGTCCTAAATATGTGCACTTTTTGTCTTTTTGGACTAAAAAATTGAGGAAAAAAATATGGATGTTTGGGTTAACTTTTTGATTTTTTATGAAAAAATGTGTATTAAAAAATTGTATAAATTAGTGTGTAGGGGAAAATTAGAATTGAGAGTTGTGCAGCCGTAAGATTGGGAGTTGTGCAGCTGTAATTTTTGACTTTTGGTGAATAGTGATAACTTTTTGAGTAACTTTTTGACTTTTTATCTTTTTTTCAACTTGCCAAACTTGGCCTAATTCATGTCAAAATTCAAATTTAAGGGTTACTAAATATGAAAAGCAATCTATTAATTTAAATTTAAATTAGGCATAATATAAATTCAGAATTATAATGATATATCCCATGATTTATAAGTTTTAAATATAAATTTAAAATTATATAATTAGCTCATATTTTTTTGTATTTAAGAGCAATAAAAGTGATGTTGAGATTATTTATATATTTTACAAAAGAATGATTTTAAGAAGAGATATTATGAGGGTTTTAAAACTTCATACAAAATCTATATACTATTATAATTGAAAGACGTTATCATCCTATTAAAGCTTAAAATTGCAATCTTTTTTTCTTTTCTTTTTTTTTGATTTTGTTTAATTTTTGTTAATATGTGTCACAATATGTTTAGTTTATAAATTCATTTTATATTCTTAAAATAAAATTTTAAATTTAGATTTTTCCTTAAATTATGTTACCAGAATAAGATCAATATTCATTCCTTAATTTATGTTGATGATGTTGTTGGTGTAGTTAACGTTGTTGATGTTCGGAAATGAGGGAAATCTTAAAAAGGCCTATAGTGAGCTTTTAACATTCAAATAAAACTTATTAGTCTACAAAATAAAAGACAGGACCAAATGGTTTAACAAATTAAAATTTGGAATTTATTGGTGTTTTGTCCATATATTAATTGCTATTAAAAAATTATATTTTTATGTTTTGTCATTTTCGGTTTTAAATTTTATAATTTTTTTTTTTAAACCTTCAAAACTACATGGACTTAAACAATAAATTTTTTTTAAAAACAAATAGTTTTTTTAACAAAATATAAAAACATTAAAAAAAAAATGAATGACCTTTTTAACAATTGCCAAACATAATGGATTCTATTTTTTTTTTTTTAAATCTTAATTGTCAAATAAACAAATTAAAATAAAACTTTAAAAAAAAATTGACTTAAATAGTTAAGAAGTGACTTTTACAAAAATCAAATAGAAATAAACATTTTTTTTCTATTAAAAATAATAGTTGGTGAAACTTATTTTTTATGTAATAAAAAAAGAAAATGGGAGTTACATATGATAATTTATTAGTAATGTTATGAACCCACACTTTCACCCATAATGATGTGACAAAGGGGTTGGGCCCCATGTCATTGAATGTATGGCAAATCAAGAGTTGACAGATATGACACCATATCATTGTTAGTTTTTTTTTTTTGGTCTCAAATATTTTTCTTATTGTTCATTTAGACTTTTTTTTAGCGCTTGCGAAATAGGGTGGATCTTGTTAACTTTTTTTTTTTTTTTAATCTCAGTTGTCAATTAAACAAACTAAAATAAATAAATAAAAATGAATTTTTTTTTGCTCAAATTGCTAAAAAGTAAGTTTTGCTAAAACAAATAAAAATAAATATGATTTTTTTAATAAAAGTGATGGTTTGTGAAAAATCTTTTTTATTTAAAAAAAAATTAGGGTTATAGGTGATAATTTATTGATCATCTATAATTATTTTTATTATCAACTTATTCGATAATCCTTTTCTAAAAGGTGTATTTACTTTTGTTCATTAATATTAAATTTTTAATTAATCTTATTTATTATTAAAAAAATAAATTAGCAAATAATTTTATTTTATATATACAATTTTGTTTCGATTGATCAGATTATTTGGTGTATCTGTCTAAATCCATTCAAATTTATTTAAAATTTTGAACTTTACATAGGTTCTTACCGAATTAAAAATTATGTTACATAATCTTTAAAAATTTGCAAGCTTGACTCGAGTTGCTTAGGTTAAACTCGCCCATATTTATGACTTTAGTTAGGGGGTTGAAAGTTACATTGTTAAAGTTGTGACAAATTAAAAATTAGCACATAAATTGTAAAACTTAAATAGTAAGTTTCAATATTTTTATTTTCATAATTTACATACAAAAATCTAACTATTTATATTATTTCATATAAATATATTTTATTAACTTTTTCACATCCTGTGCATAGCACCCGTTTTCACGAATATTATATAATGCAAAGATTATTGTAAACATATTGCAACAGAGAGAGGATATATTATTTTTTTTAAAAAAAAATAGGGCACGCCCGAAAAAATAGCAAAAATTAGCACGCAGAATAAGCCGAAAATTACCCAAACAAATTGTTTGAAATTAATATTTAATAGAAAAAATAAAATAAAATTTACTGAATTTGATTGTAATGAAACCAAAAACCAATTAGGGCACATAAAATAAGAGAAATTATTCTTTTCATTAAAATGCATTAAAGAAATTGAGAGATACGGTCCCGCACCGAAGAGTTCTCCGAACGTGAGACGCCGAAGAAATCTCTGGATGCTGGCTTCTCGCTCATGTGGGACGTTGTTCGCAACGTTATTGCTGTGTTTAGTTGAAGGATTTGGGGAGGGATTTGGAAAGGGAAAGGAAAAAGGTGTGTGAAACTAGGTGAAATATAGATATGTTTTATTCATATTTCACTTCCAAATCCCTCTCCAAATCCTCCAACCAAACACAGCATATATGTATCAGTTATGGGTAGTCAGGGAATAACAAATATAGAGAGGCCGCTGATTTGTTCTTATGGTAAAATCAATTGATAAAGATTGCAATTTAGATCCAAGTTTATAAAAATTTAAGTTAACCCCCAAACAAGAACTAGTGGTTTAAGAATTTATCTCCTACTAGAGGATTGACCACCACTACTGGAACAGAACAAAAACAAGGTCAACGCATACACAAATCAAAAGTCCAATACCAGAATTGACAACTTTCAACTAGAAAAAATAACAGAGAGAGAATTGATATGGTTACTCTAATCTGATCTTTAATAGTAGAATGTGTAGAGCTAAAAATATGATATGATGACTTAGTAAATGACCCCAGTTATTGTAATTTCTGGCTGCCATGCTCCACATAACTGCGATAGGACTTCGAACGGCATGCTTTTCACTGACCCAAGAAATGGACCCAAAGATCATATCTTCAACAATGTTGGAGCTGTGCTTTGCCGTGAAATTGGTTTCGAATTTGATTGTGTATCTATGCTTCTCGCCAATTTTGCTGCAAATTAGATTATGCGGTTTGACCGTCATAGCCACCTTATCAATTGCCAGATTAACAACATTGACTTCGTATATTTCTGGCAGTAGCTCCCCAACGCAGGTTACTGTTCTGGTTAACTCGTGAACATTATTGTTAGGTCTGAACAATACTGAGAACGATGGGTAGTTCAGATTCCCAGGCGAACCAGAAAACCCTGAGCATGGGTTTGGTTCTTCCTCCACCAAAATTCTCATCTGGTCCTCAGTATAACCAAGGCTGCATAGAAAATGGACGTAATCGGGAACATCGATATCATAAATGAGTCCCGGATCTGTAGCTAACCCAGGATTGATCTGACCAGATCCAATCCCCAATGCCGTAGCTGGCTTCATGTCCTCCAATCTAACCATTGGAAGACCTGCATTATCCGAGGTTCCAGCCGTCGTCATCAAAGCCGATCGAATGGCAGCTGGTGACCAAGTAGGATGGGCCCCACGGAGTAGGGCAGCAGCCCCGGCAACGTGTGGACAGGCCATCGACGTGCCGGACAAAATGGTGAATTTGGGCGTCCTTTTATCGTAAAAAGATCCCGTCAATGGAACATTTGGAGCAAAAGCTGCTAATATGTTCAGACCCGGGGCGATAAGGTCAGGTTTGAGAATCTCTGCGACGGTTGGATTCGGACCTCTAGCGGAGAAGCTTGCAAGTGCTGGCGCTCTTTCTTTTCTTGGACTTGTTGCATCATGGAACACAAACCTTGCAGCAGGGTTCTTTGTTGTCTTTATATAACTGAGAATTTGTCTTCCTTCGTTGAAGCCAACTCTCGCCGCAGGCAATGGATAGGCTGTAGCCATTAGTTGCTCTCCACTTTGTTCTCCGTTCAACTCAATGAACCCTGCACCTCCTGCCAATTGAATTATGAATGCATTGCTTTTGTCACTGATAAAGACTCTGCTGTTGCTGCTAAGCCTCTAGCTAAGTCTCAACCAAGTCTCAAGATCAAATAGTTCAAGAAGCTCACCCAGCTCAGCTATCCACTTCTGTACCTGCAACTGCTGTCCTGCACATGTATAATTAGGAAGTTTGTTAGAGATAGTTAGTTTGTTATAATTAGTTAGTTTGTTAGAGATAGTAATCAAAGCTGTTATATTGTTAGAACAAGTAACACAAGATGGTTAGATAGTTATAACTCAGGTTAACTCTGTATCACACTTGTATAAAAAGACTGCTGTAGCTTCTATTTCATTATTGGAAAAAATATAAAAACATTCTCTCTATTTTCTTTATGGTATCAGAGCATTTTTTGGCTCTCACGAGCACCTAAAGAGTTCATCAATGGCTTCTACCATTGCTGCAGCTTCATCTTCTTCTTCTGTTGCTTCATCATTACCTTCAAATCTGCCCTTGTTAATCTCCAATCTCAGTGCATTTGTTCCTACAAAACTTGATTCTTCAAATTACATAGTGTGAAAAAATCAACTTCAAAACATTTTGAAGGCAACAAATCTTCTTCGTTATGTTGATGGATCTGAGGTATGTCCTTCATCCACTGTGCTTGATTCACAGAATCTTCAAGTCTTGAATCCTGCTTATACTCTGTGGAATACTATTGATGCACATCTGCTAAGTTGCATCACTGCTACACTATCTCCCTCTATTTTCACTACTGTAATTCATTGTCAATCAAGTCATGAAGTCTGGACTACTCTGGCCACACGATTTACCTCTCTTTCTAGGTCTCATATACATCAGTTAAAGACTAAATTGAGTAAGATCACTAAGAAAGGAGGCACAATGGAAGACTATTTGAATCACTTCAAAGTCATTGCTGATCAACTTGCTTTAGTATCTTCTCCTGTTGAGGATGAAGATCTTATTCTTCTAATTTTGAATGGTTTGCCTGATGAATACAATGCATTAAAGACTACTGTACGTGCTAGATCTGGTCCTATCTCTTTAGAGCAACTGTGCTCTCTACTGTGTTCTGAATCTATTCATGTAGAGGCTTCTCTTAAGCATGTACAAGCTGCTGAAACTCCAGGATTGTTTGCTTATCAACCTCCTGGTTTTCTGCCCTCACAACATTCAAATCACTCTAAAGCATATATAGCATCTGCTCCATCCTCTAGCACTGATGTCAACTGGTTTTTAGACTCTGGAGCCACTAATCATGTGACTAATGATCTTAATCATCTCTCCTGCTATCAACCTTATCAAGGACATGAACAGGTAGCCATTGGTGATGGATCCACTCTTCCTATTGCTCATACTGGTAAAGGCCTACTTCCTACACCTTCATTTTCCTTTCATCTTAACAAAATGCTTCATGTTCCTACTCTTTCTTCCAATTTGCTTTCCGTTCATCAACTAACTAAAGATAACCATTGTACTGTTACCTTTGATGAACATTCCTTTCTTATTCAGGACAAGGCTACACAGCAGGTTCTGTATAAAGGCTTCTATTCTCATGGACTTTATCCTCTCATCTCGTCTTCACCTGCTGCTGTTGTGCCATCTTCTCTACCTACTCCTGTGTCTTCATTTTCTGCTGATGTTTCAAGACCACTCTGCCTTTCTTGTTCTCCTGCTACTGCTGCATCACCTGCCACCACATCCATTTGGCATTTTCGACTTGGACATCCTTCTTCCAAGAAGTTGCATCACATCTTAACTCATCATCACTTAGTTTCTAAGTCTTCTGTTTTAGGAAATAAAGGCTCTCCACTTTGTGAACATTGTTGTGTTTCCAAGAGCCATAGGTTGCCTTTTTCTTTGTCTAATACAACTGTCAATATACCTTTGGCCCTTATTCATTCTGATGTATGGGGCCCCTTTTCAGCTTCTGTTTCTAGTTTTAAATACTATGTACTCTTCATTGATGATTTTAGTAAATTTACTTGGCTTTTTCCTCTCCATTATAAAAGTGAAGTGTTTGCTAAGTTTCTTGAATTCAAAGCTTTTGTTGAAACTCAGTTTGCCACTAAACTTCAGATATTAAGGAGTGACAATGGGGGTGAATATCTCAGTAATGCTTTTCAAGATTTTCTTAAACAAAAAGGAATTGACCATCAATTGTCTTGTCCTCACACTCCCTCTCAAAATGGTGTTGCTGAGAGAAAGCATAGGCATCTCATAGAAACCACTATCACTCTCATGCATCACTCCTCTTTGCCTTTGGTTTATTGGTTTGATGCTCTTGCTACAGCTGTCTTTCTTGTTAATAGGCATCCTACTCTTAAATTGAATAATCTCACTCCTTATGAAGTATTATTCAATCAAAAGCCTGATTACCAGCTGTTGAGGACTTTTGGTTGTAGATGCTATCCTTGGCTTAAGCCTTATACATCACATAAACTTCAAACCAAGTCTATTCCTTGTGTGTTTATTGGTTATCAACCTTCTATCAAAGGATATAGATGTCTTGACCCTAAAACTGGGACAGTGTATATTTCTAGACATGTTGTCTTTGATGAATTATCCTTTCCTTTTCAGTTGTCATCTCAACCTCCTTCTACAATCTCTCCTACTTTGATTGATTTCTTTTGGCATGCTTCTCTAGACCAGCAGTCTGCTTCACTGCCTTCTACAGCTCATTCTTCTTCTGCTTCAGAATTTCCTATTTCCTCTACTTTACCTTCATCTTCTTCTGCTCATATTTCTGTTTCTCAGCAAAATCCTTCTTGTTCTGTCTCTCAGCAGCAGCAACAAATACCTTGTTCTGTCTCTCAACAGTCACCTGATCTGCCATCTTCACCTAATCTGCCATCACCTCCTCTGCCTCATTTCCCACCTGTTTCTGTTCAGCAAAAGTCCTCTGTTCTCCCTCTGCCTAACTCAGTTTCCACTCCTTCTGATTCATCCATTCCTCCTTCTACATTTGCTATTGAACCTCAATCCTACCAAGAGGCTGTTGCTTCTCCAGCTTGGCAACATGCTATGTTAGATGAATATGCAGCTCTCCAACGCCAGGGGACTTGGTCTTTGGTGTCTCTCCCTCCTGGTAAACAAGCTATAGGGTGCAAATGGGTTTACAGAATCAAGAAAAATTCAGATGGCACTATAGCTAGACACAAGGCTCGACTCGTAGCCAAAGGTTTTCTTCAAACAGAGGGTGTGGACTATTTTGAAACCTTTAGTCCTGTGGCCAAGCAGCCCATTATCAGAGTTCTTCTTTGTCTTGCTCTTCACTATAACTGGTCCATTAAACAACTTGATATTTCCAATGCCTTCTTACATGGTGTTCTAGAGGAAGAGGTGTATATGACTCAACCACAAGGTTTTATTCATTCCACTCACCCTTCTCTTGTCTGCAAGTTACATAAAGCTCTCTATGGTTTAAAACAAGCTCCTAGAGCTTGGTTTTCTACATTTTCTACCTTTCTTCTCTCTCAAAATTTTGTTACCAGTCACTGTGATTCTTCATTGTTTGTTCACAAGACCTCCACTTCCATCACTATTCTTCTCATCTATGTCGATGATATTCTCCTCACAGGTAGTGATCCTCATTACATTCACACTCTCATTCAGCAAATGCATGCCACATTCTCCATGAAGGAACTTGGTTTTATTAATTACTTTCTAGGCATTTCTGTTCTCATGTCTTCCTCAGGTTATGTTCTTTCTCAATCCAAATATGCCTCAGATATTTTGGCCAAAGCTGGCATGCAAAATTGTAAACCTTATTCATCTCCTATGGCTGCTAAAGGTTCCATTTCCTTTTCTGAAGATGTTCTACCCTTTGCTCACCCTTCTCTTTATCGAAGCTTGGTAGGTGCTCTTCAATATCTCACTATCACTCGACCAGATTTGGCTTTTGCAGTCAACACTGCTTGTCAATTCATGGAATCTCCCTTAAATTGTCACTTTGCTGCTGTGAAAAGGCTACTCAGATATGTGAAAGGTACTTTAGCTCATGGACTGCATTTCTCTCCTGGTTCTCTTCTTCTTAATGCCTACTCTGATTCAGATTGGGCAGGTAATACTTTGGACAGAAGGTCTACAACTAGATACTGCATTTACCTTGGTCCCAATCTTATTTCTTAGACCGCAAAGAAGCAGCCTACTGTGTCCAGATCTTCCTCTGAAGCCGAATACAGAGCTTTAGCTCAAACTTCAGCCGAACTCTGTTGGCTTAGCATGCTCCTCACTGAGCTCCATGTTTCTGCTCCTGTTCCTACTCTATGGTGTGATAACCTTTCTTCCATTGCAATGGCGCATAATCCGGTTTTTCATGCCCGTACAAAGCATATTGAGGTGGACTATCATTTTGTTCGAGAAAAGGTTGCTGCTAAAACTCTCCACATTGCTTATATTCCGACTGCTGATCAAATCGTAGATATATTCACTAAACCTCTCTCAGTGGCTCGCTTTCAATATCTTCAAAGCAAACTCTTAGTCCTTCCCAGTCCTATGAGTTTGAAGGGGACTAATAAAGACTCTGCTGTTGCTGCTAAGCCTCTAGCTAAGTCTCAACTAAGTCTCAAGATCAAATAGTTCAAGAAGCTCACCCAGCTCAGCTATCCACTTCTGTACCTGCAACTGCTGTCCTGCACATGTATAATTAGGAAGTTTGTTAGAGATAGTTAGTTTGTTATAATTAGTTAGTTTGTTAGAGATAGTTAGTTTGTTAGAGATAGTAATCAAAGCTGTTATATTGTTAGAACAAGTAACACAAGATGGTCAGATAGTTATAACTCAGGTTAACTCTGTATCACACTTGTATAAAAAGACTGCTGTAGCTTCTATTTCATTATTGGAAAAAATATAAAAACATTCTCTCTATTTTCTTTAGTCACCACCTGGAGGGCAGACAACAATCTTCCCTTTGAAATTATAAGAACGTTTTAACAGGTGCCTACAGAAACCATCATAGACCAGTGGAAAAGCGTCTGTCCTCGTAAGATTTGAAGGATACAAGGAACAACCAGTGAAAATTAGTCCATTTCCAAGCATGACATCAACTGGAAAAGAACGATCAATAGATCCGGCACCGACAGTAGTTAACCATGGTGCCGTGTTCATCACTGAGCCAGATATTGGACCATTATTGCCCGCAGCGCAAGTCACAAATATCCCTTTCTTTATAGCAGCGAACCCACCTCTAGCAATGGAGCTCGCGTAATATGGAGTTTCAGGTCCTCCAATCGAAAGTGATAAAATTTGGACTCCATCTTGTATGGCGCTTTCCATGGCTGCCAATATATCGGAATCAGGACACCAGTGGAACGCACATGCCTTATACATTGCTATTCGTGCGTTATATGCAATTCCCTTGGCGGTGCCCTCTGCAAATCCGAAAAGATTGGCATGGTCGACAAGGGCACCGGCAGCTGTAGAAGCCGTATGAGTTCCATGACCGGATCCATCTCTTGGTGAGTCATAATCTCGACCAAAATGGTCTGTGGGCTTATCAGCTTTGAGAAAATTAAACCCCTTGGTGAAATATCTAGCCCCAATCAATTTTCTATTACAGAAGCTTGAGTTGAACGAATCTCCACTTTCACAGTAGCCGTTCCAATAAATAGGCACTGGCCCAAGTCCAGCGTCATTGAAGCTTTCGGCTTCTGGCCATATGCCAGAATCCACTAAGCCAATGACTACATTTTCGGCAAAATTGGACTTTGACCCAATGCCAAAATTTACTTTGACCCCCAAAAATTCTAGTGATCAAGTTGTGTGAGGGCGCACAGTTGCTTCATCTTTTATCACAGCTAAGACTCCGATAGCGTGACTAATGTAATCAACTTCTTCATTTGTGAATCGTGCAGCAAAACCTCTAATCTCTTCATAGGTATAAAATACCCTTTCATTCAACCATTTTTCTTGGTTATAAAGTTGAGAAATTGTTGACCTGTTGTTGACAAAAACTATGTAACTGGACATGCTAGTTCCAGTAACAGAATTGAACAAAAATAGAAAAATAATAGAAAGAAGGATTAGGCATGAAGCCATTGTATGCAAACGTATTGTTGTCTCACAGAAACCTTCTGTCTCCTCTCAAAGCATCAACTATTTCAACTCAATGTTGTTAGAGTTATAAATAACATGACTATATATATAAACTAAAATAAAAAACAGAGGACCACAAACGTGAGAAAAACAACAAAAAGACAACCAAAGAATCCGTATCTCTGGTGTCGCATGTAATCCCTTATAAGACACCATTACAAAAATAGTTAAATATCACACTTTGACAAAAAAAATATCTCACTTTTATTGGAAGTGTGATAAAAAAAAATTAAATTGATATTTTAATCACACTTAATTTGATTGAGTGTGATAATATTAATTTTTTATGTCACTTTTCAATTAAGTGTGATTATATATATATTTTTTTTTAATCACACATTCTAATTAAAGTGTGATTATATATATACTATTACTTTTTAATCACACTTTTTAAATAAGTGTGATTAGATATATATTTTTTAATCACATTCTAATTAAAGTGTGATTATTTATATATTTTTTAATCACACCTTCTAATTAAAGTGTGATTATATATGCACTACTACTTTTTCATCACGCTTTTTAAATAAGTGTGATTATATATATATATATTTTTTAATCACACATTCTAATTAAAGTGTGATTATTTATATATTTTTTAATCACACCTTCTAATTAAAGTGTGATTATATATACATTACTACTTTTTAATCACACTTTTTAAATAAGTATAATTATATATTTAATCACACTCCACTACAAGAAAAAGCATCTTTGGCGACTAAAAAAGCACATTTGGTCGCTGAAAGTATAGGTTTTGGCGACTAAAAAAGCATTAGTAGCCAAAAGTAAAGATTTTGGCGACTAAAAAAATTTAGTAGCCAAAAGTATATGTTTTGGCGACTAAAAAGCTGTTTGGTTGCCTATATATGGCTTTTACCGACTAAAAAAAATTTAGTAGCCAAAAGTAAGGCTTTTTGGCAACTAAAAAAAATATAGTAGCCAAAAGTAAGGTATTGGGTGACTAAAAAGATGTTTGGTAGCCAAAAGTGAGGCTTTTACCGACTAAAAAAATTTTAGTAGCCAAAAGTGAGATTTTTGATGACTAAAAAAAATTTAGTAGCCAAAACTGAGGCATTGGGAGACTAAAAAGATATTTAGTAGCCAAAAGTGAGGCCTTTTGGCGACTAAAAGACCTTGCCAATGAGTGGTCCTGTAAGCTTTTCTCAACTGATTAGGGCTTTTTTGTTTGTTAGATCTTGCTTTTCGTTTGTTTCTATGTGTGATTGTTGTTCATGCTTCGTCCTTCTTCAATGTTGAAATTGTTATTGGGGTTTAGATGGAGAAAATTTAAACCTAAAGCTTCAAGTAGCCAACATTAACTTTTTTGCTTTCCAGTTGCTTTATTTAAACACTAGTTTGAAACTCTGAAATAGGAAAATATCCCTAATGCTATGTTCTTGCCAAGCAGGTGGGCGGCTCTTCTTCCCCACTCTGGTTTCTGGTTTTTTTTTTTTTAATTGAAATTTTTTCCCAAAAAACGTCGTTTTGTTGGTGCCACAGGGATGGCCGCAGGATTGTGTTGTATAAGGTTTATGGTGTGAGAGGGTTGATGGTTCGAATTTCCACAACAGCAAATGAGAGAAGCTAGTGAGTGTGATCTTTTTTTTTTTTACATCTAAATGTTATTAATCACACTTAAAGGATGTGATCTAAATACTTTTAATCTCACTTAAATTAATCACACCCCCAAAGATCACACTTTAATAAAACTTAAAAAGTGTGATTAAATAACATACATCACACCAAAAAAAAAAATGTAATTTTTATCTATTTTTGTAGTAGTGAGATCTAATACATGGTTTTGTCATATGGTGATGATGGTTGACGTTAGGTGAAGGTATATGGTTCGAATCTCCACAAGAGCAAAAGAGAAGCTAGTGAGTGTGATCTTTTTTTTTTTTTTTTTACATCTAAATGTTATTAATCACACTTAAAAGATGTGATCTAAATACTTTTAATCACACTTAAATTAATCACACTCCCAAATATCACACTTTAATAAAACTTAAAAAGTGTGATTAAATAACATGCATTACACAAAAAAAAATGTAATTTTTATCTATTTTTGTAGTAGTGAGATCTAATACATGGTTTTGTCATATGGTGATGATGGTTGACGTTTGGTGAAGGTATATGGTTGCTGTAATTCCCAAAATTAAGCATTTGGTGACCTTTGTATAATTCATAAAAGACATATACATGGAGCCCCACCATTGATGGGCACTTGAGGTTTTATGATCATATGGTGCTCATTTGTAGAATCAACTAATACACCCTATAAAAAATTAAAGTTTTAGAGATCAAAATTTAGAGGTAAAATTATTTTTTAGGGACCAAACAATTTTGTTACGAAAGTATCGTTATTATATTTTTAGCAATAAAAATTGAACATTGGTGATGAATTATTATCCTTTTGGAATCAAATTTTGTCTCAAAAAATAAACCATTTTGAGACCTAATATTTGTTCCTAAAAGTCTATTTATTAATGACATTTTCAAAATTTTATCGCTAAAAGTCTTATTTTTTACTTTTCAGGACGACCTTTTAATGACTATCCTCATGACGATGGAAATTGGTTCCTAAATATTTTTTGCAACAAAATTTTCACTTTTAAATATCAAAATATTTGGTCTCTAAAACTCTTATATGTTGCAGTGATATAAATATATTTATGTGTATATATAGCTATGTGTATATATAAATGACAATTCATTTTGAGACCTAATATTTGTCCCTAAAAGTCTATTTATTAATGACATTTTCAAAATTTTATCGCTAAAAGTCTTATTTTTTACTTTTCAGGACGACCTTTTAATGACTATCCTCATGACGATGGAAATTGGTTCCTAAATATTTTTTGCAACAAAATTTTCACTTTTAAATATCAAAATATTTGGTCTATAAAACTCTTATATGTTGTAGTGATATAAATATATTTATGTGTATATATAGCTATGTGTATATATGTAGACACTCCATTTTTTACCGACCTTAAGACTCAGACGTCACCGATTGAGCGCTTGGTGATGTTGCATATCGTGCTCGTTCAGAAGTTTCAGAGTCGCGGCCGTGAGCCCTGCCTCCGGATTTCCGAACCCTCTTCTGTGCCTTGCCTCGGTTTGCGAACCAGACTCGGTTTTCTCTGTTTCTTTTCCTGAGGGGAAGGAGAGGTCCCATAGACCATCTCTCAGTGGCCGTAGGCTACGTTTCGTGGTCGTAGGCCATTTTTCCCATTTCGGAGCCCGGTTTCCGATTTTTCGGGACCGTTGGCCGTATGCCTCGGTTCGGGACCGCCTAACCACCTCCATTTTCCCCGGTTTTTGGCATGCTTCTTATTTACCCCCTTTTGAGGGACACTGAGGTCTGAGAGACCTACTTCGTGGTCGAATACCACTTTCGGTGCCTAACAGGTAGTTTTCGGGGCCCCAAACTGCGCGTTTTGGCCCCCGAGCATTCGTTTTGCATCGGTTTTCATTCATTTTTGGCAGGTACCTCTGTTTCATCACCAGGAAGGCCGTAGAAGGGTGGGAGGCCAGCAATTGTTTCAGCAACCAGTTATATTCCTCCGGCGCCCTCCGACGCCCGTTTTTCTCACTTCCAAACCAATGTTAAACAACCTTGGGCCATTTTCTTGAACTTCTAACCACATATTTGTATTGTACACACATGGGAGGACACTAAAAGTTGGTGGCCGGCCAGTAATTCCACCTGACCCTTTTGACCCCTTCCTAAAAATGGCTTGTTCTCTCTCTTGTTTTACAGTTAACAGTTTTGAACCACAGGGTTGTGTTGAGGGCATCTGGGAGGACACCTATCTGTGGTGGTCGGCCACTAAATCTTCTTGACCTTTTTGACCCTTGGCTGGCCGGCCATGGGAGGTAGCCGGCCGGCCACCTGCAGCTCCAAAAGCTGGCCGGCCTCTCTCCTCAGGGTGTGTACTTTACAGCTGTATAGCTGTTTTCCCTCAAAAATATATGTATTTGGAGGACAGCTTTTGGGGGAAAACATGGTCCTTTTTCCCCCACCTTTTCCCCTCTGTTTCTCCCTCTCCTTGGTCCATATAACCAGCCTCCAGCATTGGTCATAAGGGTTGGAAGAAATTGCCTTCAAGCTTTGATGTACAAATCTCCCTCCATCTCTCTCTTTCAAGCAAAAAACATCCAAGTTTTACCACCTTTTCTTCATCACCACCTAGCATCACCACCACTACTCCATTTCCAGCAGCTTGGGGAGCTTTCCAGCAGCTAAGAGGCATCACTTCTCAAGCCAAGAAGCAACCAAAGACTTGTCTTCAAGGGTGAGTACCATTTCCCCCTTTTTTGGCTTATTTTTGCATCATTTGTAAGCCATACATGCTTGCTATTTTGAGCTCTGACCCTAACTGAAAGTGGAATTATTTTGAGCTCTTTTTCACTTTTTCTTAAGGGCCTCGCACTGTTTGAGATCCCCATCTTGCACTTTCTTCATTATCCCTCTTGTATGCCATAATCTTGCATAGTATTTTTGGCCTATATGTGATCTGTTTTGGAGCATGATGTAAACTGTAGATAGGCTTATTTTGAGTCCCTCTTCAACATTGAAGAAGGGTTCATTACTGTTTGGGACCTCCATGTGCCACTTGTCATTATACCCCTCTTTGGTCCCCATTTTTGCATGATTTATTAGCCTATTGTGCTTCCTTTTTTGGGTAATTTTCAGAACTGAAAACAGTATTATTTTGGCCTCCTCTTCATGTTTCATTGAGGGTATTTCACTTTTTGAGACATCACTTATATACTTTGTGTTATATCTCTCTTTTTGGCCATATTTTTGCATAATATTTTTGGCTTGTATGCATACTGTTTTGGGTCCGGCCATCAACTGTAAAATGC